CATTTCCCCTTGAAGCTACTATTCTACTTTTCTTTTTCCCTTTATCATTACTTATTGAATCTAGTCATTTGTTTAAAAAAAAGAAAAAATGGTCTCTACTTCTACTTCCACTTCTCCTGTCATATACTGAAAATGCTATGTCCAAAATCACCAATGACATTCTAGTTGCCAAATTCAGTAGCCTATGTTCAGCTTCCACCTAATTTGATTTCTCTGCAGCATTAAAAATCATTGCTCAATCTCTCCTCAAAACTACAGAAATTCCTTTTAATTCCTCAGCGACATTTATATTTCTTTGCCATGTGTCTGATCATTCCTTCTTTGCACTTTCTCATCAAGACTGATGTTTCTCCAGAACCTCCTTGTCTGTCTCTTGTCCCATTCTGTGTGATATTACTGCAGGGTAACATACACACCTAGGTTTCAATTGCTACCTCAAGGCTAATAACCCCCTAATCTGTCACCAAAAATTTAGTTTCAAAACTAAATTATGAACTTACAGACTTCCTCCTCACATCCCATATTTTAGAACTTATTAAATGGCATCTTTGACTACCATTCTCACTAGGTGGAAACTTGATTTCTTCTTTGACCTGTATCTCACTTGGCCCTCACATCCTATCTGTTTGTCTACATCTTTGACTCTTCACTGCAACTATCTGTTAAAACTAGAATGAGACATAAATCTTTCAACCCAGAAATCCTACTCCTAAGCATCTATGGCATAGAAATATGATCATCAACATAAAAGAGCATAATAATATGAGTTGTATGCCCTCTTGATCCTTCCACTGCACTAGGCCACAGGGTCAAGGGTCAAACCATAGATGATTCCATGGCAGTTGGCAGCCCTGAGGACAAGCTGGCCCTGATAGGAAAAATGCGAAGGGTGGGCGTTTATTCCCACAGCTACCAGAACTGTTGACTGCAGAGGCGTGCAGTTCCTGACAGACTCAGGAATTGCCTTTGAGACAGGAGGGAGATGCCATCCCAGGGGCAGCCTGCACTCGGTGACAAACTGATGCTCAGTGTAAAGGCTGAAATTTCTTGCCTCTATTCAGGATGACTCTGAAGCATCATCCCAGATCAGAGCTCCTGGTGGAGTCAGCTAAGGTTTCTTCTGTTGCAACTACATCTCAGGTCAACTTCTTCTCGAACCTGCTTCCTTTATACACTGACATGTGTGGTTGCCAGAAGCGCTTCACTAAAACTTGTGTCATACAAATCTCTGCCTCAGAGTCTTTTCCCTGGGAATCCAAATTAATATTATGATAATTGCTAACAAATCATGTTCTATGTGCCAGGGACTCTTTCAAGTGCTTTATGTCTCTAAACTTATTTAAACTTGACAAAACCCTTCTACACAGAAGGAAGCATTATTATCTCTTAAGACTACACCACTGCTGAGTGGTAAAGTCAGGACTTAAACCTAGGATCCTCAGTCCATTTTTCTTAACCATAAAGCCTCCCTTGTAAGATTAAATATATTGCTGAGAATTATTTTTAAAAATTAAAAAGAGAAAATATAGGGGCAGGGCATGGTGGCTCACAGCTGTAATCCTAGAACTTTGGGAGGCCAAGGCAGGAGGATCACTTGAGGCCAGGAGTTCGAGACCAGCCTGAGCAAGAGGAAGAGCAGGACCCTGTCTCTACAAAAAATACA